TATATACACACACACACATACATATAAAAGGGGAGAGAGAGAAAGAGAGACAGAGAGAGAGAGAGAGAGAGAGAGAGAGAGAGCGCCCACTCTTGCAAGTCAAAGTTTTGGATTTAATGGATTATTTATCGTTTGGGGGCAGGGCACATCCGGGCAGCTAAACCCCACGAGGGCCTAGCTAGTGCACGAGACCAGGAAGATTCTTGAATCCCTACCCCTACCGGACTGGCTGCCTCCTCCTGTTGTGGCACACGAAGGAAGCCAGGGGCAGAGGTGTGTGCAAGGCGAAGGGCCCGAGGGAGTCCACCACTGACACCGCCAGGCCGATGGGGGGTGCTCTCCTAGTTGAAGACTGAAGGGGCGTGGTGCCCCCTGGAGGTTACGCTGAGCGGCGTGGAGGATCCCATCACGAGTGAAGCAGAGGCGCAACTGAAAAACTTTTTAAACCAGGCGGTGCCCTAGGTCCCCTGAATCGACAGTAGGGAGCCGATCATCACCCCGTGCCCTTGCCTTCCCTTTCAGGCTCTTGTGACCGTCACCCCTGCCTGCCTCCACGTCCTGGGTAACATGAAGCCCGCAGCCCTCAATGGTCTCCGTGTGCTCTGCCTGCGTCCTCTACTGTGTCCGCTTTACCTCCTCCTACTCCTGCTGCTGCAGCCGGTAGTCCGCACCCAGACCTCGCGGGACACCTCCAGCACCCAGACTTCGTTTGGCACCCCCAGTGCTCCCACCACTGGAGGCACTCCTGTCTCTCCAACCACACATGGCCTACAAGGTCGTGCGAGGGACTTGATGCGTGACTTCCCGCTAGTGGACGGGTGCGTTGCTGTGGAGGGGGATGTCCTTGCTCCTGGGCAGGGAAGGTTTGTTTTGCTTTGTTTTGCTTTGCTTTGGTTTTTTTGAGACAAGGACTCGCTATGTAGTTCAGACTGGCCTTGAAGTCACTATTTAGCCCAGGCTGGCCTCAAACTCACAGGGGTCCTCCTGCCTCAGCTTCCTCAGAGCTGGGATTACATGCTTGTGCCACCACACTGGCCCAGGGAAGGTTCTGAGTTTGTGGAGCCTGTGAGGAGTCCTCTTCACAGCAACCTTGGATGCCCTCTGTCCTCCATCACCCATGGGTGCCCTTCCACAGTCACCCCATTGCTGATGAACACCACCCCAACTCCTCCTGTTGTGTATGACAATAGCCCTGGTGGGTGGGAGAGGTGGGTAGACATAGGCATGCTGCCTGTCCTGTCTGATGTGGAGGCTATATCCCTACTCTAATCTCTTCTTGACACCCTCAGCCACAACAACCTGCCTCGGGTCCTGAAGCAGCGTTTCCAGAATAGGCTGCAGGATGTGAATCTGCGCAATTTCAGCCACAGCCAGACCAGCCTGGACAGGTTTAGGGATGGCCTCGTGGGTGCCCAGGTACCAGATACACAGTGCCATAATGGATGCTGGGGAATGTTGGGGCCTCAGAAGCTGGCTAGGCCATCCTCTGGGTGACTGGGTACATAGGCATGCAGGGTGCCATCATAGAGGTAGTTGGGGAGCATCATGTAGGTGTTGGGTGTTAGGGGCCTTGGAGGGCAAGACAGGTGAGCTGCATGGGTGCCCAGGTTCAGTGGAGACAAGTAAGGAAGTTACCAGAAAAACAGTGGTGAGTGTGGAAGTCGCTAGAACCACAGAGGATGTGGTATCAGGCCTGGGGAATTCCCATGGCACACAGACAAACAGCAGTCTATGATAAGTCCTGAGTCTACAGTTTGGCAGCAAGCTAAATAGTCATCAAGGGATGATGGGATCATGCAGTGCCTTGTTGTAGGCGCTGAGGCTGGATTGGAAGGCCTAAGGGGTTGGAGACCACCTTGGCCTCATTCTGGACCCCATGAACTACCCGTAGTTTTGGTCGGCCTCTGTCCCATGCAACACCCAAGACCAGGATGCTGTGCGCCTCACCCTGGAGCAGATCGACCTCATCCGCCGCATGTGTGCCTCCTATTCTGAGCTGGAGCTGGTGACCTCAGCTGAAGGTGGATGGCAAATGGGGGCAGGGGGCAGTAGTCTGAACTCACTGCAGTGGTTCTGTCCCTGCATTCTGAAACTGCACTCTGCACCACGTTTTAGGTCTGAATAGCACTCAAAAGCTGGCTTGCCTCATTGGTGTGGAGGGTGGTCACTCACTAGACAGCAGCCTCTCTGTCCTGCGCAGTTTCTATCTGCTGGGAGTGCGCTACTTGGCTCTCACCTTCATCTGCAGCACACCCTGGTGAGCACAGTGCCTGCTGGGGGAAAATGAAGGCAGCATGGTAGGGAAACTGCTCCACCTCTGGGATGGGCCTGACCAGAAGTGAGGATAAAGCTGTCCACAGAGGGAATGGGCTCCCAGCTGGTCTTTTACACTCCCAGAAAGTTGCTGGCCCTTGGTCCTCACTTGTTCTGGAGGTGCAATGGATGGATAGACAGAGCTTCCTAGGCTCTGATGACCAAGATGTGACTAATTGTACCTCTCTGGCTGTCCTGCAGGGCAGAGAGTTCCACCAAATTAATATATGATTCCTACACCAATGTCAGTGGATTGACAAGCTTTGGCGAGGTGAGGACTCCTGTTCTGTACCCCACTTGTTCCCTACAGATAATGTGCACACTTTTGTGTGTGTCCTGACATCCCCTTTCTCCCAAATATCAATTGTCCCTACAGAAAGTGGTACAGGAAATGAACCGCCTAGGCTTAATGATAGATTTGTCCCATGCCTCGGACAACTTAGTGAAGCAGACCCTGAATGTGTCTCGGGCTCCTGTGATCTTCTCCCACTCAGCTGCCAGGGGTGTGTGTGACACTTACCTGAATGTTCCTGATGATATCCTGTGGCTTCTGGTAAGTGCCCACCCCAGCCCTCATACCTAGAACTAGGCCTGCTTCATCTCAAGAGTCTTGAGCCTGAACACAAAAAGTCATTGCCATACGACTCACACACCCTTGGGCCCAAGGCTGGCCAATCCTCCTCCACCTCTGATACTTATGGCCAAATCAGTTTTACCCAGAGCCCCACAAATCCAAAAGAAGCCTCTTCCAACCCCTGAAACCAGGACAGAGTGTCATCCACAACATGGGAGGGACACCATCAGGCCAGAGGGGCTAAGCTGAGTATCCTTTTGTCTATTCTTGTAGAAGAAGAATGGTGGCATCGTGATGGTGACTCTGGCCATGGGGGTACTACACTGCAACCTGTTTGCTAACGTGTCCACTGTGGCAGGTAAGCCCCACCTCAGCTCTCTGTGCAGCTCTGGCTTGGGCTGAGGCTGCCAGGCCTTCAGGAGAGCCCCAGCAGCCTAGTGCATGTTGGGCAGTAGCACACCTCCCACCAACCCAGCTCTCCAATGCCACCCAGGTCTCAGGCCACAGTAGGTACTGGTGAGTTTGATACCTCTACCTCTGACTCTCATTCTCGCTATCAGTCCAAAATGACTTGTCGTCCTCCATACCTCTGGTCAGGACAGGCAGAACTCAGAGGCAGGAAAAGTTTCAAAGAGGTGGCTCTGAGGTCCTCTTTAGGCCCAGAGCTGTAACCATTTCAGGATTTGTGTCTGGTCATGAGCTCTGTGGCAGCTGCCATGGCCTGGAGTCCTATGGGCAGGGAAATTGGCCAGAGCTGAGCTTCCTCAAACCAGGGCCTAACTCCAGGCCCCAGGCTCTAACTACAGCCTTGTGCTTGCTACCCACAACTAACTTCTATCTTCTAGATCACTTTGACCACATCAGAGCAGTCATCGGATCAGAGTTCATTGGCATTGGTGGAAATTATGACGCATCTGGCCGGTGAGTGCTTTCCCTGGACATGTCTTGGGCTGGGTTACAGCAGAGAGTCCTTTAGTCTTAGATCTTCATCCTGAGGTCCTCCCATCTTTCAGGCCTTGACCACAGCCCACCTGACATCTCCCCACTCCAAGGGCCTATTTCCAAGGCTCTTCCTATCCTTTGTGTGGCCTAGTAGAGCCAAGTGATCACACTTGCTAAATATTCCCCTCCGCAGGGAGCCAAGCTTAGGCCCCATTCCCAGCCCATCAGACATCTGCTGTGGGCTGACCATCTGCTCAGCTGCCAGTGCTACATACAGAAGCCCAGTCCTCAAGGCATTTCTAAAGTCCCATCCCCTAACCAGAAGCACTTGGCCTTCAGTTTTAGTCTGGGGCTACAGGGACAGCAGATCCTAGACCAGGATCGGGGCCAAGCCAATGGGTGGTCACACAGGTTCCCTGAGGGGCTGGAGGATGTGTCCACATACCCCGTGCTGATAGAGGAGCTGCTGAGTCGGGGCTGGAGTGAGGAAGAGCTTCATGGTGTGCTTCGAGGAAACCTGCTGCGGGTCTTCAGGCGAGTGGAGCAGGTACGCTGGGCTGGGCAGCAAAAGGATGGTTGCTTCAGTGGTTTGAGCAGTAGGGAAGGTTGCTGGAGGGACATCTGACTGCTGCCTCCCACCCCCCCACACACACAGGTGAGAGAGGAAAGCAGTGGCCTGAACCCTGTGGAAGCTGAGTTTCCAGACAGGCAGCCTAGGAAGTCCTGCCACTCCCACCTCCTGCCTCTGCCTCAGAATAAACCCCAGGGGGTGACCCAACCAACCAATCAGGTCTTCAGGAGCCCCTCAAAAAGCTCCCCATGTGCTGTTCCAGGCCCCCTGGCTGCTGCCACGCTCCTCATCCTTTGTTTCTGGTGACCTGGTCAGTCCCCAAAGTGGCCACCATGGCAAAGTTTCACAAAGTCCCCCTTCTGTTGGCCCAGGCCCCAGCATACGGTGAGAATAAATATTTGAGACATGGAGCCAAGTGTGAGTGTCCTTCCTCTTTCATGGTGGAAGCTGGGTCAGTTGAGTTCTTGTTTGGTGAGGGGTCTTGTGGCCCAGCCCCAGCTACTCACCTCTAGCTTGGCACTCAGGAAGGGCAGAGGCAGCTCATCAGATTCTCTTCTGCTGCTTCTTCTCCCCATCCTCCTCCACAACCTCTCTTTTCCCTCTTCCTCCTCCCTTACTATTCCTTCCCTTCCACCTTCTAATTTTCCTCTTATTCCTCTTCCTGATCTTCTTTGCCCAAACTGGGCTTTTACTTTTTTTTTTTTTTTTTTTTTTTT